CCCTCACAAAATATCAAATGTAATACAAAAACTACGTTCATAATTTTTCATAACATATCAGAGACATTCAATGAATCCTTTCCTTACAAAATATCAAATACAGTATTATACAAAATTTACATTCATGAACGCTCGCAAAATATCATACAAAATTTACATTCATAAATTTTTACAAAATATCAGAAGGATAAAATAGTGGAAATACCTCATGAATCTAATCTCCTCAATATATATCAGGATCTATCAGTAGGACGGTGTTACTATCACTGACAAATATTAAATATCATCAGGACGGTGTTATAATCATTGACAAATAGTAAATATCATCAAGACGGTGTTATAATCATTGACAAATAGTAAATATCAGCAGAACGGTGTTATAATCATTGACAAATAGTAAATATCAGCGGGACGATGTTACTATCATTGACAAATAGTAAATATCAGCAGGACGATAGTAAATATCAACGGGACGATGTTACTATCATTGCAAAATAGTAAATATCAGCGGGACGATGTTACTATCATTGAAAAATAGGAAATGTGAGCAGGACGGTGTCATTGAAAAATAGTAAATATCATCAGGACGGTGTTATAATCATTGACAAATAGTAAATATCAGTAGAACGGTGTTACTATCATTGACAAATATGTAGTAAATATCAGCGGAACGATGTTACTGTCATTGACAAATAGTAAATATCATCAGGACGGTGTTACTATCATGGACAAATATTAAATATCATCAGGACGGTGTTATAATCATTGACAAATAGTAAATATCATCAAGACGGTGTTATAATCATTGACAAATAGTAAATATCAGCAGAACGGTGTTATAATCATTGACAAATAGTAAATATCAGCGGGACGATGTTACTATCATTGACAAATAGTAAATATCAGCAGGACGATAGTAAATATCAACGGGACGATGTTACTATCATTGCAAAATAGTAAATATCAGCGGGACGATGTTACTATCATTGAAAAATAGGAAATGTGAGCAGGACGGTGTCATTGAAAAATAGTAAATATCATCAGGACGGTGTTATAATCATTGACAAATAGTAAATATCAGTAGAACGGTGTTACTATCATTGACAAATATGTAGTAAATATCAGCGGAACGATGTTACTGTCATTGACAAATAGTAAATATCATCAGGACGGTGTTACTATCATGGACAAATAGTAAATATCAGCGGGACGATGTTACTATCATTGAAAAATAGTAAATATCACCAGGACGGCGTTATAATCATTGACAAATAGTAAATATCAGTAGAACGGTGTTACTATCATTGACAAATAGTAAATATCATCAGGACGGTGTTACTATCATTGACAAATAGTAAATATCATCAGGACGGTGTTACTATCATTGACAAATAGTAAATATCATCAGGACGGTGTTACTATCATTGAAAAATAGTAAATATCAGTAGAACAGTGTTACTATCATTGACAAATAGTAAATATCAGCGGGACGATGTTACTATCATTGACAAATAGTAAATATAAGCAGGACGGTGTTATAATCATTGAAAAATTGTAAATATCAGTAGAACGGTGTTACTCTCATTCTCAAATAGTAAATATCAGCGGGACGATGTTACTATCATTGACAAATAGTAAATATGAGCAGGACGGTGTTATAATCATTGAGAAATAGTAAATATCAGCGGGACGATGTTACTATCATTGAAAAATAGTAAATATCATCAGGAAGGTGTTACTATCATTGACAAATAGTAAATATCAGTAGAACGGTGTTGCTATTATTGACAAATATGTAGTAAATATCAGCGGGACGATGTTACTATCATTGAAAAATAGTAAATATCATCAGGAAGGTGTTACTATCATTGAAAAATAGTAAATATCAGCGGGACGATGTTACTATCATTGAAAAATAGTAAATATCAGCGGGACGATGTTACTATCATTGAAAAATAGTAAATATCAGCGGGACGGTGTCATTGAAAAATAGTAAATATCATCATGACGGTGTTATAATCATTGACAAATAGTAAATATAAGTATAACGGTGATACTATCATTGAAACATAGTAAATATCAGCGGGACGATGTTACTATCATTGAAAAATAGTAAATATGAGCAGGACGATGTTACTGTCATTGACAAATAGTAAATATCAATGAAACGCTCCCTCAGATATCACCAGTAATCACTCTTAGTATTTAGCGTCCGCATAATAAATCCACTGCTGTCAATGATAGATACCCTCTGTCTGGTGTCTTTAGTACACTCTTTCAATAAAACATGCTCAGTCTCTTTAGAATACACAGTCAAAACGCCGCATTTTGAAGTAGAAAACTGCGAAAAACCACATACAGCAGCCGCCATCTTGGATGGCTGGATACCAGAACTGATAGTTTTGACAGAGCGGGTTCTACGACTGCCTGAGCGTGTTCGAAATGCTTGTCTGTCAATTGCCGATGGTATCGAGTCGTTTAGCATCCATATTTTGTCTCTATATTGATTAGAACATATCAATATCAGATGATCCAATATCAAAATTGTCAAAACTTAGACAATGTTATCGCGCATGCGTATGAAGATATATGAAATTTTATTTTTTTAATCGAGAGACCTTGTACCCATTTACTAACAACCACAAAAAGAATTCATGGGACCCCGCGGCAGTGGAGATATCGGGGCATAAAGTTGGGTACTTTATAGGGTTCGATTTATACCCTTCAGGAATAACCAAAAGATAGATTTTTCTTTTTTCATATTTTTGAAACATTACTACCTAGCCTAATATATCGAATCATCATTTGTTTCATAAGTACTCATTTACAACCTGAAAAACAGCAGCTAACATTGCCTAAAATTGACGAAAAATGAGCAAAAAGCCCCAAAAAACACCTGTTTGCCGTATCTCAGCTAAGGTCAATTTCTGAGATCGGCGGTTTTGGCTATCGAGTAGTCTCATGGGCTTGACCAAACCCTGTCAATATGAATGGAATCGGCCGACCCCTCACCTTCCCGATTTCTGCATGGTTTTCTCGTGGACTGACACTTAAGTATTTTGCTCCTTTCCTCTGACCATGCGTATGACTGGTTGTTGGTTGTGCCTGCACCAGAATTCCATACCCCACAATCATCCGGAAAATCCAATCTTGTTTTATTAGTACTCAGATGGTTGACAACAAGGTATACATTATCCTTCGTTCCCAGTGGAACCCTATCTAAAGGATCCACCGTATTCAAAAGCATGAGATCACCCAATGACAAAATTGACCCGAAATCTGAAAAGGGTTACGTGTCCGGATAAGCAGTTTTGACGTTCACGTCCCAACGACTCAATATTTTGAGCTGAAATTTTGAGACAAGGCAAATACACCATTCCTCTATATTTTGGCTCTTAAATTTCATACGTACCCGGACTTTTATTTTTGAGACTCTGTTCAAATCGGGATAGGCCCTTTAACATATGGAGATGATGTATAAGGGGCAAATAGAAATCCTGCGTCTGCGTCATCAAGACTGCTGTTGGAATAGAATGTGAAACTACATTCTTATTTCCGGGTCATTTGAAAAGACGGGCTTCCATCATCTAAAATCATTGCACAGGGCAATAGTGGGACAAAATGGTTAGGTGTCCATGTTTTGCCTGGCGTGGGGGTTGCGTATTTGACCACATGATTGGGAGCCGTCTATGTCGCAGTTGTATTTCTGGTACTATCAAAGTGTTAAATTTGACAAACGCCAAGTCTTTACATCCATTGACGGCTGGATAAATCATTTGAATTGGCATTTGAATTATGTTAGCCAGTGCTACAATTGTCCAAACACTGGAAAAACGGCCAATTGTAGCACAGGCCAATGATGTTTCTGTGTAATCCGGGGACAACAGGAAAAAACTTGACCGATAGACATGATTTTCTATGTTTGCTTGGTTCAGAACCATCTCCAAACAAGTGCGATATCTCAATTCTACTGAAAGAGCAGCGTTGAGACTGCATTGAAGAGACAATCCCCATCGCCCGTAGATTTTACTGCATTGACATTGATTTCTTTGGTATACTGCCTCAATAATTTGTCAGCTACTTCGTCAACAAGGAATTTTTATTGGTACTATTGTAGGGGATAAATCGACACGCCTCTCTTTGTTAATTAGCACCTCTCTTTCTGCGACCCTTCTCGGTTTGTCAACACTGTGATTTGCGTCCTGAAAATAAGATAAAAAGCCTTACTTTCACTAATTTGCTTAAACACTTACAGCTCTGTCGGTTTCTTTGATGATCAAGCGCAACAAAACTTGATTAGCCAATCAACAATCTTATTTCCGTTGATTAATTGATAAGTCAGGTGGAATGTATATACGAGTAGAGCATTACACATTTGCAATAAACATGTGCAATTTCGTTCATTTTAAAATGAAAGTAAATATGCAATGACTCAATAATTGACATGAAAAAATATAAACATATGCAGTTTTTTTTGTGTTAAAGGCCGTGCCTCCTAACAATACCCATGGAGGGGTTGAAATTGTTATTTATAGACCGCTGGCCATCTTATATAATACTACAGTAGTTAATTACATATAATGATTAAAATATACACAACAAAATACTCGTTTTTCTTATTTTAGTTTCGTCGACTTGAAAACCAACTGCAACGCAAAAGAAGATGATTAATCTGAATAGCAATATTAAATCTCTTTATCGGTTGTAAAGGGAGATAACTGCGCAAACATTTCATTTTTCTGCAAATTATAGAATATTCTTGCAGTAATTATACTAATGTGCTGCTATTTGACAATATTAGGTTGTTAATTGATAATATTGGGTAGTATGTGGTAGTATTTGGTAGTATTGGGTTAGTTTTTGTTTGTTTTGGTTGATATAGGGAGGCAAATGAAACAGCCAGAGATCGGTAATCGCATTTAAAGTACAATTCCCGCGCTATAACTAATTATTTTTGAATAAATTCAACTGATATGCACATTTTACATCATTATGTTGTAATATTGGGTAGTATGTGGCGATATTGAGGTGGTATTGGGTAGTATTGGGTAAAATGTCCCGCCGTCATAATAGAGACACAATTTAACCAGGCTTGAAATTTGCGACAGTTTGACTATTGCAGCTAGAGACACATAAGTCACGTCTACACCACCAGCGACAAAAAATCTATGTTATAGACTTTTGCCTAAAAATTGCTTATCTCTTAAGACCGGTAAGTAGATATCAAGTATACAATCTAAAACTTCATGCAGTGTTAACTTTTATAGTTGGAATATCTGTGATTTCACTATTTCTTTATGCTTACTTGTGATTTGATGACAACCAAATAATTATCACATCAACAAATGTTTACTCAGAGACTCTTAATATTTACATTCAAGACAAACACTGTTTACAAAATTAAAAAAAACAAACAAAAAAACTATAATACATTTTTACATATTTTAACATTTTACTTTCAGGAAATTGATCAGTATTATGGGGGGTTTAGATCGCATTACAAACAAGAGATGACATTTTGTTAGGGTGCCAGATGACGACGAACAGAAAAGGTTTCGCCATGATGTCGGTTTTGGAGGCACGGTCGACTTGGAAGAGATAATCACATAAGTTACATCAAACTGTATAGTCTGCAAAGTAAAGAGGAGGTATCCTGACAAATGGACACAACCATGAATGAAGGAGCACTGTTCAAAAGACCTACCCATATTATCAAACAAAACATTCTTTTCTATTAGTTAAAGATACATTATGGAAGATTAGATAAAGAGCTAGCAGTTCTCACTATAATAGTTATAACTAGATGATGTAAATGGAATATGCTGAGAATTTCAGTTAAATTGCTTCACTACACGTGTAAGCTGATAACGTTGACTAATGAAGCTAGGCCTTTTAGTAATGACAATTGTTGTAGTAGTATCCTAATGTTCAACGTCTTCTTCCACATAAGTGATATCGCAGACAAGAAATAGGAGAGCCGAAGCTGCTTCCTGTTTTTAGAATATGATTTTGCAATCTTTCCATTTTCGGCCTTAGGCCATGGATTGGGTTTTGTGGGAAGTTCTTCCCTTTATTTAGTAAAAAACATATCGTTTGGTAGATGTTTTCTTTTGCTTCTGGATTGGTAGATGTCTTCGTTGTGGGATTAGTGTTTAGGTGCCAGGCCCGTCTTATCGTGACCTCCCCTTACTCCACAATCCCACTGTATGGGTTTGGTATCTGTTTCTTTTGCGGAATAGTGTTTAGGTCCCGTGTCCGTCTGACCGTATCTCCCTTTACTCCACTATCCTGCTAGTTTGGCAGATGTCATCTTTGTGGGATTTGTGTTTAGGTGCCAGGCCCGTCATATCGTGACCTCCCCTTACTCCCCTATCCCACTCTGTAGGTTTGATGTCTATTTTTTGCCGGAATAGTGTTTAGATGCTGAGTCCGTCTGATCGTGACTCTCCCTTACTCCACTATCCTGCCAGTTTGGTATAAATCCCCTATGTAGTTTAGTGTTTAGATGCCGAGCCCGTCTAACCGTGCCCCTCCCCCCTACTTCACTATTCTACTTAGTTCAACTGTGTCCATTAGGGCGTGGATTTGTTCGAAGATTTGCAGTTTCAGATCTGGTCTCGGGAAGAGTAAGTTCTTAGTGTTGAGTGATATGTTGTTAGTCTCCATCATTCTCACTAGTTCCCTTCTCTCCTCCGTGTATACCTCGCAGTCTACCAGGACATGGTTGGTGGTACATTCTTCTCCGCACTCACAGACGATGACTTGGTGTTTGTAGTCTCGCAGCCGCTCTTTCACCCTTAGTTTCGATATAAGTCACCCCGTGGGTTTTCTCCGGGTCCTCCGGTTTCCTCCCACTGCTAAAGACCCCTACGCGCAAGCGAATTATTGAAATAAAATTAAACCATATATTAGTCCCGAAATGACCTAGTTTGTGTCGAGTGGACGTTAAACCCCATTTCTCTCTCTCTCTCTCGATATAAGTCTGCATATATCTCTTCTAGGGTGATTGGTCGCTGTCTTCGTGTAAATTTTATCATCCAGTCGGAATCTGTATGTGTCAAGTTCAGCGAGTTTTAATTCCCAGAATGAATTGACCTGCCTTTTAACCATACTGTAGATTTCCGTGGTGCTGTAGTCTATGGTGCGGAGTGGTGCTGAGACCTTCGTTGGCGAGTCGATCTGCCTCCTCGTTTCCTTTAATGTTGACATGTGATGGAATCCACACGAGCTCTAATTTGCTTCCCTTCTCTAGGACCCTCTGGTACAGCTGCCTGATTTCCAAAATGACTTCTGGTCTTGAGTCCGAGTTGTCATTTTTGATTGAAATCAGACTGCTCAGAGAATCGCTTGGAATGACGAACTTACTAGTCTTTTGATGGGAGATCCATGATATAGCGTCACGAATGGCCACAAGCTCTGCAGTGTACACCGAACAGTTATTGGGCAGTTTCCTGCTTATTCCCTGTTCCCCGTTTTCCAAACGAGCTTGTGCCCCTTTCAGAGTTGCGTGAGCCATCCGTGTACACATGGTCCCTGTCATCAGACGGCCAGTTGTCTTCCAGGTGTTCTAGAGAGAAAGCACGTGCATCAGTGGGGTTGTTTTTCTTGTCGGTTTTCTGTAGTAGATCTAGATTGACCGGCGGTATAGGGAGCGTCCAAGGGGCGATTGCTGGGGGGTCGTCTTCATTTATCACGAGCTCCCCCAGTCGCAGTTCCTTGATTGTTTCCCTGATACCCTGGCCGAAGCTTTTCTTTCTAGGATCTCTCACATATCTTGTCTTTTGTAGACTGACAAAAGTAGGGGATCTTTCGCCCAGTTGCGAGATCTTTGCCCAATACCTTGTCGCTAGTCCTTTTCTTCTTAGGGATAGGGGCAACTCCCCGGCTTCCCGTAGTAATGCCTCTCTCCTAGTCCCAAGCCAGTCGCAATGCACAGAGCTTTGTATTGGATGGTGTCAAGCTTACTTAAGAGTTTTGGCGCGCAGTTCATGAAGGCCAAAGAGCCGTAGTCTGATACAGAGCGTATTAGAGCACGATACACCATCATTAATGTAACTCTATTGGCACCCCACGTGCTACCCGTTATTTTTCTCATTAAGTTTAGGATTTTGGAGCATCTATCTACAGTCAAGTCTATGTGCGGTTTCCAGGTCAGCCTTCGATCAAAGATTACGCCAAGGAACTTGGTTTGGTCTTTAAACTCGATGGTTTTCCCGTTCATACACAGAGTCATTCTGCTTATCCCACTATCCCTGCTCACGAGCATACCGACCGTTTTCTTCTCTGAGACTTTAAATCCCCAGTCGTTTGCCCATGTCATGAATTTGTCTACGGCCTTTTGCATGTTCTTTTGCAGTTCACAAAGTTCTGGCATCGAGGTAGGACGATTTCTGTATGTCATTGATCATGATATTGAAGAGGGTGGGACTGATGACCGACCCCTGAGGCGTGCCATTTTCTAATGTTTGCTTGGCACTCAGAAATCTGCCACCATTCACCTGTATCCTTCTATCACCCAGAAAGCTTTTGATGCACCGAAACATTATGCCCGTTATACCGATACGTCCCAACTTAAAGAACAGCCCGTCTAACCAAACTAAATCGAAACCCTTGGTCATTAAATCATATAAGTGGTCAGTATTCTAAACTAATGTTTAGTATGTATATAAAGTGGTTAGACATTATACAGTTGTCATTAATTAGCAAGTGTGTAACTAGCTGGAAAAAATGTGACTATTTATAACACCCATCACTATTGAATACACAAACCTAACCAATAGTGGTGTATATCATTCAATAATCACAGTTTTAACACCTTAGTGACAAAACACCGACCTAATGACTACTGCCGGATTACTAACATTTTAAACTAAATAATACACATTATGTATATAAACTGATGACTTTGATCTATTAGTGTCGTATATTTTCATTTATAACAGTTATTTGTTGCTTAGTCAACGATATCAATGTTACAGTGCTATAAGCCGAGAAACCCTTAGTTTAAAAATGACTGTAGCCTCGATTGTCATTGTTGTTACTGCTGTCACGATAATAAACAAAGTCTTGATTATCCATTGTTGCGTTTAATCAACAGACAGTTAACAGCAGATCAGATTCAAATCCAATGAAAATCGGACAACTTAGATGACATCAAGAGTTGATTATTATAAATGTCTAATTAATACATGTAGTTTATTTAACATTTCAGACCTAAAGAAAGACCCGCAATAAGCACATTTACTTCTTGCATAATGCATGTTTAATAAACATTGATGCTATTAAACATATTCCTGTTTTATATTGTGTATTTAATTTTGGTCAGACTATATTATATTCTGTAATATTCTTAAAATTTTGTGGTCTGTCTCTTCACAATATATTCTAGAGTCGGTGGACTTGTGGGAGCAAGGGATCTTTGTATTCTCGTTGGATCAGCTGGGTCTGGATATGACTGCCCCAGATTAAAGGTACCGATGACAACGTTGCCGATCTTTTTTAGTATTTTTTTTATATCTGAAAAATAAATAAATTAAAAAGGTTAATGGAAATGGGCATATGTCATGCAGTGTTATATGAGGGAAATTGTCCGAACTGCGAAATTTCAATTGTCAAGAGAACTGTATCATGCTGCTAATGCTATACCCCCCCCCCCCATCTTTTATTGCTGATCTTAGAAAACCAGGATTGATAATGTAGAAAAACTTTCTTGGACCCCAAGGTTCGTGAGCCAGCTCCAAAATCACAGTTTGATTGTATCGAGATGAGACCCAAAATTTTGACGTTTTCTCAAATTTTATAAACAAATTTGATCCATGGTTAAAATTGACCAATTAGTTTCTTACATGACTGTGGGACGGGTCATTTATTAGATATTGTTGAATGTTATTACATAAGTAAGGGGAAAACTAACCTAATGTTTCTGTCAGCTCCTTTTAGTGGTTCTCGATTTGTATGCAAATTAAAATCAACTGTTACCAACAAACATTTTGCATGGTAAACCAGTGGACTGCAAAATAATGTCAAATAAATTATTATTGTTGGTGTGGAACCTCATTCATTAAATTTAAAAGAGTGTTTTTTAAAGAAGGAATGTGAAAAAAGAGGGTTTAATGTCCACTCAACACAAACTAGGTCTAACTAGGACTTAAAATACATGGGTCAATTTTATTTCAATAATTCGCTTATGCATAGGTTTTTAGTGCAATCACACAACTGGACTAGGCCATAGTGCTGCTGCTCAGGCAAAATTTCCCTAATAGCACACTGTATGGCATATGCCGGACTTCATCAGTAGGATGTTAAACGCCCATTTCATTTCTGATCCTTAACCATTCGGCCATCCAGCCGAACTTGAAAATCATAACAAATCATCATAACTACAAGGCCTAGTTTGAACTACAATTGCAGGTCTGTATTGGTTGTAATTACCTGGAACTTACTGGCATGGAATGACTCAATATATTTCCTGTGTGCCTGTAAAATAAAGAAGTCTTTGTATTTGATGTTTATTTTTTCCTAATCCTAGTTTACATCATGTACTGGTAGGCCTGTAGTTCAGTACATAAGCATAGAAATAAATGGGAAGGCAACTCACACAGAATAATAAATTGAAAATAATCTTGGCCCTTTTATTTTGTTTTCTATCGAACAGAGTCAACAAAAACTAACAGAATGAAACTATAGATGTAATATTACTAAAAAGGAAAATAAATAAATTGTAAAAATTAAATCTGTGAGTACATATATCTCAAATAAAAATTGATGATTCCAAACGATAATACTACAAATTTACACTATTTACAGATGATTCCTCCAATAAAATATCTTACCGGTTTGAAAGTTTTTATTACTTCAGATTGGCAACGTCTTCGTGAAGTTCGCTTTGTTGAAATCATTCCAATTTCCATCTCGCTACTTCTCCGCATAAATACACACATTCGTCTTTTTCGGTGCTGTGTAATCTCGCATGTACTATTTCTTTCTTCTTTTCTGTGCAGTATCTGTAACGGTTCGTTCTCTTTGACACTTTCGAGGGTTATCCATGATGAATTGAACGAAACAACAAACTCCCAACTTTCAGTTTGACCCGAGTGAATCACATTATAGGCCGATGTTCCGGTAAACTATAGCGATTGGCTGTGTAAAAATAAACATCCAATCAGATTTCCTTTCTCAAATTATAGCTTACCGCCAACAGGGTGAGTAAATCAAAACTCTCTATTCAATTAAGTTAACAATGTTTATAGAATAGTCGCGATTATCAAGTGGCCAACGAAAAAACGTCATAAAAATAAAATGCTAGTGTCCGGATAAGCGATTTTGACGTTCACGTCCAAACGACTCAATATTTTGAACTGAACTTTTCAGACAAGGTAAATACACAATTCCTCTATATTTTGGCGTTTAAATTTCATACGTACACGGAATGTTATATCTTAGGCTCTATGAAATTCGGGAATCGCCCTTTAACACACGCGTGTACATGTTTTCTATTAGTTAACGATATACTATGTAACCATAGACAATGGTAACTATAGCCAATTAAAACCACAGTGTTACTATGTAAATACATGTATATGTATAAATATACTATATTGTCCATCTTCATACAATGACATTATTTATGAATAGCCCCAAGACGGACGAAAAGTACTTTAAAATATTAAAATGTTATTAAACCAGTGGTGAAATCAGTTTGTGTCGGCATCGGCATACCTTTTTTTTTTTATCTTTTCCCCATTTACCATGAAACAAAGTAGTGCAGCTTTGCGGTTGTGCCAATAATTTTGGATATATATATTTATATATATATTAATATCTCCAAAATAAATTATTATATAAATATCCAAAATATATATATATATCCAAAATATATATATATATATATATATATATATATCCAAAATATATATATATATATCCAATATATATATATATATATATATATATATATATATATATATATATATATATACACGTATATATATAGTAGAATAGTTAATTAAAGCTCCTCTTTGGTAATATATAATTGAAATTAAAGATGGCAAAATAAAACTACATTTTTATGCTAACGTTTTCACCGCGATAGCGGCTCTTCAGGCATTTATTATACAATTGTTTAATAAATAATAAATGCCCGAAGAGCCGCTATCGCGGTGAAAACGTTAGCATAAAAATGTAGTTTTATTTTGCCATCACGAGATATCATAACAACAGTACAAGAGCAGCAATTTACAAGGAGTGGTGCAGCCGCGAAAAACCTTTGCTTCCTATCAGATTCCGCTTGAAATCTGTTCCAGGGCAATCTAAAGAAATGATTGGCATAAGGACAAAATTAGCTGTACACAAATTCACAGCACAAATTGGAAGCATGGAATTAAACGCTGAATGTTTCCAGAATAGATGTGCCAATACAGATAATGCTATAATGCAGTTATTTCTAGAAAAGGCCCTAGATGGAGAGACTCTCGAAGAATTGGAGCTCGAATGGAAACGGGAATGTAAAGAATGCGACGCGAAAGTTCTAAGAGAGTGGGAAAAGGATCATGAATGGTTAGATAACTATCACTCCAAGTATGGAGATGAAATATTCAAACTAGAGAACGGGAGGGAGAGTGATATCGATTCATCCGACGGTGAAAGTGCTGATTGGCCAAAACAGGCACAACCAAAAGGACCGAAACGAAAACCCCAACCGTCCAAATCTAGACAAAGTAACCCGAGAGAGCTTAACGATATTAATAGATCTAACCAAACTCAGACTCGTAGAGATTCGTCGGCCCAAACCAACACCCCAATATGGCACCAAGTCCCACCTAGAAGACAAAATCGGAAAATTGAATCAGAAACTTCCAACAAACCTATCCAATCAAACGAAGAAAACCGTTTTTTAGGCAGGGGCCAGTCCAGAAATCGGGGCCGATGGAAAAGGAACCCAAAACAATAAATCCAATAGTAATAAATACCAGTGGCATTGAACTCTGTAGGAATGATATTCTATTATTTGATAAGGGACTAAAATTCACCCCAACACCTTCAAATGATAGCTGCTTACTCCAGTCTGAACTAACACAATTTTGTAGAAAACTGCGCCTCCGACATCATTTCTACAGAGAGGATGATTCTCGAACCCCAGAACCCGAAAGCCTGGCTCGAAACAAATCTACTTTTACACCAAAATCAGGAAAAGATGTACAGTTAGATAAATTTATAACAACTATAGCCACTCATAAAATTCAATCAAAACCTACCATTAAAAATCTAAATAAAGGTGAATTGAAAGCTCTCAATAATCTGAGAAATAATCAAAACATAATTATCAAACAAGCAGATAAAGGAGGAGCTATAGTCGTTATGGATAAGTCATTCTATCAAGAAAATATATTCAAAATGCTCCAAAACACGGAATATTATGCGCCATCAACCATCAAAGAAAACAACAACGTCATAGTGAATATGAGAACATTTGTGTCTTGCTACACCGGAATGCTGTTAAAGGAGGAACAAGAATATCTTATGAACTTCGATCCAAGCATTGCATACTTTTATGGATTGCCGAAAGTACACAAAAGTAGGCTAATTCAAGATGCTGTAAGACGAACTAATCATGAAGTTGTAAATATAAAATGTCCATGTGACCTAACGTTCAGGCCAATAGTAGGCGGACCAAATAGTAGTACCCAAAGACTTAGCAACTTCATTGATATCATTCTGAAACCACTATGTTCTAAAGTCAAAAGCTTTCTCCGCGATGATATAGATTTCCTTCATCATTTACCTAAGCAGGTAGAACCTGGTAGTACATTAATAAGCTTTGATGTAGTAAATCTATATAATAACATCAGTAAAGATCTGGGAATAAAAGCTATCGAATATTGGATAGATACATACCCCGATAGTATCCCAGATCGTTTTTCTAAACGATTTATAATTGGCGCTCTAAATTTAGTAATTTCAAATAACATATTTTTCTTCGATACCCATTATTTCTCACAAATTAAAGGAGTTGCTATGGGTACAAAAGTTGGTCCGACATACGCAACATTAACATTAGGTTACCTCGAAGAAATTTGGTATGAGAAAATACCCACAACCTTCGATAAAACTTTTAGCGACATGATTAAGCAATCGTGGAAACGATTTCTGGATGATTGTTGGTGCGTCCTTAATATAGAAGATACAGCGATCACCAAACTCCACGATCTCTTGAATAGCCTAGATGTCGATATTAAATTCACTGTTGAATCTAGTAAAGTAAAACTAAACTTTCTCGATGTCACGGTGAACCTTTTACCGAAT